TATTGCAAAGCATTGAAGAGCGATATCGCGCGGTAAATAGCCGCGATATCGCGGGAATTACAGCACGATAAATCGCTCATAGTTAAATCTTAAAAATGCATTTAAGTGCCCTAACTATTAACTAAAATGTATCTTGTTTGTGTATCACTTGGCTGTAGATCCTCAAATCATCTCTGAATTGGTGCTGACACTGTCCTTCCTTCTGCTCTCCATGGTCCCTGTGTGTTGTAAAGTAGCTATTGCTCCAAGCTCATTCCCGTGATGAACTATAATCTCAATATAAAACTAAATATGTCTGGTAGCCATTTTCTGTTGTGGCTATTGGACAGGAAGTGAAGGGAAATCTCCCCAAAAGGGCACAGATGGGGGGGGGGTCTACTTTATATCTCCAATATAGAAGCCAATCAATCAGTCATACTAGCAACCACTGTCAAGTGCAACTTTGAGCTTGCAAAGAACTGCAATGGAAATCAATGGCTTGTGCAGATTATTCCCACAATCCTTACAAATTAGAACACCTGTCAGGCTTTCATTTCTGTCCTGATTAGAGAGAGTCCCCCCCTCCCTATATTGGTCCTAGTGACCGTTATCACTGGCAACTGGGACAGTTATCACCACAGGAATGTCTTGAATATAACAATTTGGGGAAATCAGTGCGTTTAGTTGTGCCTTAAAAAGGAGAACTATGAGATGAGTGATTTCCACTCACCTCATAGTTCTAGCCGACTTGTGACAATGAGACCGTCACAGGTCGGCTCAGTAGATCGGGAGGTGAGCGAACACATACCGGCGCTCGCTCACCTCTCGATCCGCCAGCGCTGACTGACAGAACGGACAGGGGAGGGTACAGCTGGCTCTGCCTCTAGATAGGCAAAGCCAGCTGTCACTCACGCAGCTGGGCGGATCTCGACATCGATGTCGAGATTAGTGCCGTTTTCGCATGAAAACAATCGCAACATGAACACTGCACATGAGCAAACGAAAATTCGGCGAGTTAGTATTGCTAACAAACAGTAATAAACATTGGTCTGTGCATGATGGGGTATTTGAGCTAGAATCGAACAAGGGTTCTTGGCAGCAAGGAAAATTAATTGACCGCACGGATTTTAGTTTGCGCATGAGCAGTGTTAATCGTACGACTGGCGTACGGAAACGCCACCAGCCTTGCGAAAATCGTACGATTCGACAGAAGTTTTCTAACCTGCTGGAAAGTCTAAAGTTGTACGATTGTACAGTATTTGCGGTTGTACACTGCCCATCAACCTTACGAATATCGGCCGAAAACACGATTGCAAACGAAAAACCGGCCGATATTTGGAAGGTGTATGGGCAGCTTAAGACTCTACAGTGAAATTCTAAGCAATAGTTGGAGATTCATTCAATCAATGAAATGGCTAACCCTGCTCTGAAAAGGCGCTCATTACCTCACACCTCCCTGACAATCTGTTAACACCCACAGTGTCTGCAGCACACCGGATCCAACTCCCAGGAATGCTGACTAAACAACTATACAGTCAATCTACACTTGGCACTTACCGCTGTAATTAATGTGGTCAGCCAATAAAAGCTAAAACAACATTCTAGGGATTTTCTGGATGTCATATAAGAAATTATATTTGTTTTGATGAATAAAAATAGGGAATTTAAAATGGTTTGACTAAAATACTACATTTGGATTATGGAAGAAAGTAGAAATGTGCATACAAAAATACACATCTACACACGCAGCATTCCAACACAGACATTCCTGTCAAGTCAAACATTCCTTTTACAAACATTCAGGATGAAAGCTGAAGATCTAATCATAACCACTAGTGTGAATTAACTGCAGTTACCATGAAATACACCATTCAATCATGTGACCTCTGAGCAGACGATACAAATGATTTATCTTCAACCTTCAGGTCCCATTCACACTTCAGATGAACGTCTTTGGGCTTGTTGAGCCCCTGTACAAGCGCACTTGCCCGCGTTTCAGGGTTGAGAATTTTTTACGTGGTCACGGATTTTCTGAAATCTACCGGGGGCCTAAACGCTCAACTCTGCCCCAAAAGAAGCTGATGTACCTTTCCAAGCTACAAAACACTCAGTACAGGGGCCACTGAAACCAATGGGATGCCTCCTGTAGAGCACTGTAGCACTTAGGCATTCAAGATACGAAACGCTCAGGTGTAAATGGGGCCTCAGTCTATGTTCCCAGGGCATAAATAGGGGGACAGTGGCATACACTTTTTTAAAGACTGCAGAGTGCCCGGTATGAAAGAGTATAACGAGGTTCCACTTCTCATCTGTTGCACTGCAGAGATCTAGAATGCAACATTCGGGATATGCCATACACTAACATCTATTGCTTCCTGCATTAGACCCGGATGGCTGGGAAGCACTGACAACAAAGGCTGAGCAGAGCCCGTAACACATTTCTTCTGTACCCGTGGGAACCTTACCCTAAACATGGAGGCTCCGACTGCCGACATCTTATAAAGGAAACCTGTACTGAGGAAGTACACCAATGGTCAAGGCTGACCTCCACTTGTGACCATTCTATTCCCACGACTGCCTTTCTGGTCCTGTACTGAGGAAGTACACCAATGGTCAAGGCTGACCTCCCCTTGTGACCATTCTATTACCCCGACTGTCTTCCTGGTCCTGTACTGAGGAAGTACACCAATGGTCAAGGCCGACCTACCCTTGTGAGCATTCTATTCCGATTGTCTTTTTGGTCCTGTACTGAAGTACAGCAGTGGTCTAGGCCGACCTCCCCTTGTGAGCATACTACTCCCCAACTGTCTTTCTGGTCCTGTACTGAAGAAGTAGATCAATGGTCAAGGCTGACCTCCGCTTGCGAGCATTCTATTTCCCCCGACAGCCTTTCTGGTCCTGTACTGAAGTATAGGGATTATCAAGGCCGACCTCCCCTTGTGAGCATTCTATTCCCCCGACAGCCTTTCTGGTCCTGTACTGAAGAAGTATAGAGATTATCAAGGCTGATCTCCCCTTGTGAACATACTACTCCCTGACTCTCTTTCTGGTTGAAAGTGCACTTCTGTTTTTGTCCTTTAAGCTGGACTAACTGGCCCCACCCTCTTCTCATGCTGGCACTTACTCACAAAGTTCTGAGGGCCCATAGAATCAATGGAGATGAATGGCAAAGGCACAACCAGGAAGGAGGCCTTTCGCAGGATGGAAGACCAGACCGGTCAGAACTTGGTAAGTATGCATCTATGCAGGAGGAGGGTGGGATCGGTCAGGTCAGCATAACGGGGCCACAAGAATAAGCGCACTTACCCTTTAATATAGAACAACTTACCAGTCCTTACACTCTGCATCATTTTCTTTTTTTCAGGCTTCATACTCCGACTTGCTGCTCCTGCCATGAACACACTTCCTGTCCCAGGGTTACAATTCTCACTCACTTTATCCGTAGAGGAGCAGCAATGACACTCTGGGGCAAGAGTACAGAACCCCCCCCCTGTTTTCACAGCATGGGGGGGGTGTAGTCTACAGAGATAGCTGGAAACAATGTGAGTGGTAAAGAACAGCACATGAGGAGACATCAGCTCACAGGTAGATTTTTTGTACTTCTCAAACAGATCTACAATAACCAAATCATGCTTTCAATGATATATGTAATTGACCAAAAGCAAGTCAATAGGAGAACTTCATTGTTGGGGTTTACACGCACTTCCACTTGAGTGACATACCCGGAACAAGTACACAGGCTAGGAGCTCTGCCTTGCTTGATCTGTGTGCTTGTACCAAGTCAATGACTCAACATATTGATGCCAGAGACAGCCAAGCAACTAGCATTTTCATAGGGCCGTTAGCAATGGCAGCTTCTGTCTTTCCTCAGTACAGGTTTCATTGATATGCTCCAAGGTTGCTAACATTGCCCTTCTAGTACTACTTAGAGAGTCATTGGAGCTTGTTCTAGGCCAGGTACACAGGCTCAGAACACGCATTACCAATGGCAGCTCCCATACTTGTTACCCGACATGTTCCTAGAAAGCAATAAGCATTGCTGACACTATGATGATGTAATTCCACCATGTAACACGGACCACACACGACAGAAAGAAAAATAATTTCCCCGGTTTTATTGCACAATAATCATCTTTCGTCTCAGAGGAACCAAAACTGCGCTTAGAATCGAGTCCAAGATTTGTCTCCACAGCACCATACCAGCCTCGCTCCCCATTGCCACAGCACCATACCAGCCTCGCTCCCCATTGCCACAGCACCATACCAGCCTCGCTCCCCATTGCCACAGCACCATACCAGCCGCGCTCCCCATTGCCACAGCACCATACCAGCCTCGCTCCCCATTGCCACAGCACCATATGGGTGCCCACCAACTGATACAATGCCTCCCTCTAGTCTAGTACCAGCAAAACAGTCTTGTATGAACCCTTAGATTTCAGTGTCATCTCCTTCTTGGGGTCACTCCTTGCTCTCGTCTCTCCCCCAGTCTCACCCCCAGTCTGACGCCCTCGCTCCCGTTTCTCCCGTCTCTCCCTCAGTCTGACGCCCTCGCTCCCGTCTCTCCCTCAGTCTGACGCCCTCGCTCCCGTTTCTCCCCTGTCTCTCCCTCAGTCTGACGCCCTCGCTTCTCCCTCAGTGATGCCCACCTCCTCCCCTCACTTTCTCAGTGATGCCCACCTCCTCCACTCACTCCCGTCTCTTCCTCTGTGATGCCCACCTCCTCCCCACACTCCTGTCTCTTCCTCAGTGTTGCACCAAAGCCCTCCCTCCTGCTCCTGTCTTCCTCAGTGTCACCTCCTCACTCCCTTGGTGTCACCATCAGCAACCATATCACTCCCCACTTCTCGAATTTCCACTAATTTATTTCACAGCAAGGGGGCCCAACATTAAATACAGTCAGTCTCTGGGGCCAATCCTATCACTTCCTCAATGTTCCTCTTCATCGTCAGTACACCCGGATCTCCTGTCTCCGGGCTCTGCTCTCCGCACACAGCTCTACAATCCCTCAAAATCCGCCTTACCAGGAGTCAGCCTCTTCCTCCTCTGCGGCTTCCGGGGAAGAAAGCGGCGGAGACGGAGAAGACAACGGAGACGGAGAAAACAACGGAGACGCGTCCTCTGGCTCAGCCATGTTCACTGTTGACGTTCCACGTCACTCAGCCGTAAAGCGACGAAGGGAGCCGGCCTGATACATGCTGTGCTGAAGTGAGCCCATATTACGTGACATACGGCTCAGGAAGACGGCTCTGCGCCTTTTGTATTACTAGAGCGCCCTCTAGAGCACAGCGCGGTCATCTCCACTGTATGGCAGTCATTGAACTATACTCCCCAGAATCCTTTGTGCTACTGAGTGGGCGGGGAGGAGGGAGCACTTCCGGTGTATGTGTTTAGGGGGAAGAAGTGACAGGCAGGTCTCCTGCAGGGCACAAACAATGTCAAGTAGAAGCCATAGATTGGCCTTATGTATGTTTTATGGTACTGACCATAACATCTCATATAGCTGTTACATTCAGTTTATATAAAGCCTGGCAATTAACTTATCTTACTTGCTTCTTTGTGGTGTGTTAAATATAGCATTGAAGTCATTTGGTATATTTGTTTAAAAAGTATGGGGAAAACTCCTACCAGAAATCTAATGAGAAATGATCCTACCAGACATCTAATGAGCTTTTAACTTCCTGTTTTTGCTGAAAGTTATCAGTTGCTATTGTCCGCATCTCTCTCTGTGGACTACAGAACACATCACCTGTTATGTGGGGAAGGTGTTCTGTCGTTCCAATGCACTTCCCGTCCAAAGGTGAGAGTGCTGCTCCTCTATAGATACAGTGCAGTGAGTGAATGTTGTCACCCTAGAACCGGAATTGTGTCACTCAGGATCACCAGGAAAAAAAACATATGCAGCCACATCTAAGGACCGCTAATATATTACATTTTTCTTTTCTCTCTGTCTCTCTCTCCTTCATGATTTTCTAAAATAGTATTACACTCTCAAAGTTTTTTCAATAATTAATCCAGATGAAACACGTATATATTTCCCAGCAAAGTATTTATATACATTTTTTGCCCAGACACTCACATTTATCAGGTTTCTAAACAATTTCAACTCTTTCAGCTCAGCTATCCTGCACTTCCTGTCCAGTACAAGATCACAAGGGACAGAGCAGCCTCCAGTAGCTGTTCATCTACTTGCTTCTAGCTTGAAGAGAGGAGGAAGGAGTGGGGAGCAGGGTGGTGTCTTACCTTGCCATGCCTATGTGTTTGTGGACACACACACAACCTACTAGCACACAAAAGGGTGGCTCCATAGGACCCTGCAAGAGAGAGGAACCACCCTAAAACAGGATATCAGGCCCAGTGCTCGGAACCAGCTGATTCTACAGGAGGAAGCAACATCCATTATAAGAGATATCATCAGCATTTGGAATAGCTTAAAAAACCTTCTGAATTTAATATCACTTTAACTGTAGATCTTAAAGGGGACCTGAACTCAGAAAGTTATCAGCCGTGCTGAATTAAAAAAATATGCTAACGTCTGCGGGGAGGAGCGCCCCCATAGAACTGGCATCATCTCCTGTAATGACCTGTACCACAAAGGGAAGAAGGGCCAGCATGCTGAGCCAAATGGAGAAATATTGCTTTGTACAGTGCTGTCAGCAGTTTCACCATCCTTACAGGGTCTCATTACCATGCTGATAAATGGATACAAGCCGGCGGGTGACCAAGTTGTATTGTGCAACGGCAATAGAGCAAATTGAGGTCACTGTCCTGACTATCCGGTCCTTATGGGTGTCTGGATCATAAAACTGGCCAAACACAACTACTGCCCTTGTCTGTGTTTATATTTTGGAGGACTGTGTGCAATACAAACAGTCACAATTAGGGCTGTCCAGATGCCAGTTCAGATACCGGTGCCAATACTTGGCATTTTCATGAAAACTACCAGGGTTGCAGCGGTTGCATCTGGGACCTGGCTCTGGCACTCCACCACTGTCCTGAAATCATTAGTCTGTATTTGTCACATGACAATAAACAAAAATGTATCAGTACTCGTACTTGTAAGTACTCGGCAAGTACCAGTACTTGTATGTGTCTGTGCATCCCTTTATTTATATTTATAAAAACAAAATCGTACATTAAAACAGAGATGTACAAATCCCAGGAGCTCCGTGTGCTTCTTAGCCACTTGAAGTCCGCTGTGTTAATCCCCCTTCCTGGCCAGGCCATTTTTCAGTATTCAGCATTGCAGTACTTTGACTGATGAAGGGGGCGTGCCCCTGAAACGCATAGACCTTTAGAACTCAAGGGGGCAGAGGACGCTGATGTGCTGTACTCCTTCAGTCTTCCGCTGTTGGAGATTTTATACTTCATCACCATTTGTATGCTTTTAACCACCGACTTTCCTGTAAGCACATTTTTATTTGCGTGTTGTACAAATAAATTACACTTTTACACTATGGAGGCGCTCTGTCTTGTCCCTTGTTTCCTACATACAGTATATATACACATACATATATAGGTATGGGTGTGCCTACAGGAGTGGTAGTTCTGGTGGAGGGAGGGAGCGGTGCCGCCTGGCCCGTTAATAATATTAAATGTTTCCCCCCCTATCGAATCTTCCATGGGCCCTGCCGGTGGTGCCCGGGGCACATGCCCCCCTAGCTTCAGCACTGACCCCCAAACCCCCCCATGCCACCCCTTCCCCCACACTGAGCCACTATTACCTCACGCTAAACATTTGTTGGTGATTTTTTTCCTCTGATAGATAAATTATGAAACAAAAATATAATGTGCGAACACAAGGCACTGCGTGCCGCACAGTGCCTTGTGAACCCCTGATTGGGTAAAACAATGCACCTGACCACAGATCCAGATCCAACCTGCGCCCCAGGGCTTGTGGGGAAGAGGCCCTTGTCCCCATCGGCATAGGGGACAAGGCGCTTTCCCAGGGGCGACCCTGGAAAAGCACCCTCCCAGTGCCGAGGGCATGTGGCCTGATATGGCAGGGAGGGGCGCTCGCTCGTCCCCCTTCTTGCCCTGCCAGGCCTATGCTCGGATCAAGGGTCTGGTTAGGAATTCTAGGGGGGACCCATGTTTTTACCCTCCATTTGTGGGGGTGGGGTTCCCCCTTAAAATTTGTAGGACTTTTGGGGGGAACCCCACACTTTTTTTCTTTTTATTTAAATGGGGTCCCTCCTAACATTCCTACTAGACCTTAAGGGCTTGGTATTGTTTGGGAGGGGGAACCGCATGCTTTTTTTCCCCTTACTAATGTAATTTTTACTTCAGCAGGTTCTATACATCATACAGATGTTCCACTTTACAGGCAGTATAAGGGAACCTCCAGGAACGATATTTAAAGGAATTTTTAATTATTATTGTTGCACTTTAATCAATGTTAAAAATCACTGCTCCTTTAAAACGATATTCTTTAAAAGTGTTTTTTTCATTGATTCCTGTCCTCCAGTGCAGTACCCGGATCCCCATACACCTTTTTATGGCCAATAACTTGCAGATAAGACTTCAAAATGGGGACATTTGATTTTCTGAGTTTTGGTCCCATAGACTTTCATTGAGTTCAAAGTTCGAACTCATGTGTGTTCGGCCTATTACTGATCATGAATCCTGTAGTGATTTGCCTTACCCTCTTTCACCTGTAGAGCTACACTTACAATTAGCGCAATACTGAGAGTACTGAGGTATATAAGCTATAGTGAGGAGGCACATTGGCAGGTTTGTGTTTGCCACAGTGTGTGCTGGACAAGGAAAAGTATAAAACAACTACGCTGGTAAGTTTAAGGTCTTTGTATATAATCTGGTATTTGGGAAGATTTAGTTGTGTCATTATACCTTGACCTGACTGCTTTGTGATAATGCTGTCTTTTAAAGTCTAAATTGTGGTGGTCAGTTGTCCTGGATTTCATGGACCAACAACCCTGGGTTTTAAAACTAGCCCTTGGAAAATCTTCTTGGCTACAGCTGGGCTACCAAGTTCTGCTATACTGCTTCTTACACTGTTGTCTGATCTATAAAATATTTGATTAAAACAAAACATGGGTTCAAGTATAATTCAAGCATATGGATGCACCTCTGTTTATAAATGGAAAGATGACTGAATAGTGCTCTTCTTTAAAGGCTAACCTTGGGTTTTAACCATTGCCTTTCTGATCAGGTTCTTAATTTTGTCCAAGACTTTGCTTTATTAAAAAGCATGAAAAAAGGAGTGTTGGTTGAGGCCCCATTCACATGTGTAGCCAGGTTGTGTGAGGTTGTGCATTTTTGTGTTGGTTGTGAGGGGTTTCACTTTTTTTTTTTTGGGGGGGACTAATATGAATCTTCTGCCAAGCCACATAGCTTGTAAGAAATTGCTGCCACTAGATGGAGCCAAGGAATGCTTCTCAGCTCCATATAGTGGCAGGAATGGCATTTGACTAGTGTGTTGTTGTTTTTTTAACCCCTTGCTTGTCTGCCCATTGTAAAATTACATGTGGATGGTGGATCCTTCCCGGTGGGGTCCTGTAAATGTATGTATTCTTTTTTTCCTGCTTGTGCGCACCCCCTAGCGAGCGTGAACAGATCCTGCTGGGTATCTGTACAGCCGTTATGCCCTGTTCACACGATGTCAGTTTTCTGTGCTGACCTGATCCGTATGCTCCTGCACTAAAAAAATGTATCCTATGTGTTTTTATGGGCTACAGTTCTCACGTGCGCAGTCCGTTCAAGTTACGACAGAAAAAATACTGCATGTCACATTTTGTATGGTCAGGAAATGATCTGGAAATGCAAAACGCGTCAAACACACTGCACTTAACATACTGACAGCCCCACTCCAGCAAAAAAAAAAAGCGTGTGAAATTTTAAGGCTTGGCATGTTTGGTGTCTCTATACCCGACGTGGTGTCATCTTTATATTTTACCAAAAAATTGGGTATTAAATGTTTCATAATTTAATATAGTGGAAAGTTTTTTGTTTTTTTTTTCTCAAATTTACAATAACTTTTCCTTAATATAGTACAAAATAAAAACCGCAGTGGTGATTAAATACCACCAAAAGAAAGCCCTCTCTCACCATAAAATGGTATAAAATTAATTTCAGTACAGTGTTGCATGACAGAATAAATTGTCATTCAAAGTACCGCAGCGCTGAATACTGAAAAATGGCCTGGACAGGAAGGGGGTTTAACACTGTGGTCATCAAGTGGTTAAAGTTGTGTGGTTTGTTTTATAAAC